CATATGTCACTGTGAAGGAGTCTAAGCTTAAAAGCTAACCGTAAATTGCGTGCACTGTAAACAACCCTACTGAGAGGAGAGAAGTACCGAGCYGAACRAGACGGCTGTAAATGAGAGCTGCTGCTTTGTCAGACAATTTCAATTTAATTTGGAAGCCTTATCAACACAGACTGGCTTCATTCACTTCCTCCACTGCCATATGCTAAACTAACTAGCAGACACTGCGCAGAAAATCAACATCGTTCAAAACTCCACCTTCTGTTTGTTGATTGGCCCAGGTGAAATGAACTACAAGCAGACACTGCGCAGAAAATCGATGTTCTGTTCTCCGATTGGCCCGGACGAAAATTCTCCCGTAGAAATCTTGTCTATGGAAAAAAATCCCAGACGGAGCAGTGAAGGGAAACTAGAATTGAGTGGAGCTGTGTAGGAAGGCAAGGGCCAGGCTAGGCATGAAGTAGTTATTAGCATTAGATTCTGCAGCTAATAGACACATGTAATGACTGGGTTGTATTTGTCCAAAAATGCTTTATTTTATTAATTTTTAAGCTCAATACTCAAAACATGCTCCCTTTGCTGCGGAAGGAGTTGGAGTTTTTCACATTAAGGAACACACCAAAAACATATGTTTCCCAACACACACTTAGGTTGTTCAGTGTTTTCATATAAATACTACTAGGCTACTGTAAAAAAATAACCATTTAGATTGAACCATGGAGATATACTCTTTGGATTAAACATACATCAAAAACATAAGTGTGGGGTACCTTTAAACAATTAAAAATAAAAGCAGCATGTATGTAATCTGACTCCAACAATGTCTGTGTCTTTCAAAAAGACACAGAAAAAAATTATTTCAAGGCCACACGTTAGGTAATGTGTGGCCACAAGTTGTTATCTCGTGGCCACACATTATTGTTCTTTAATCCAATGTCACTGGATGGACTCCGTAATTTTTAAAACTTTCTTAACAAAATTTTGTGGAGACTCATTTTATTAAATTTTCACTATTTTTAACAAAATACAACATTAATTTTAATTACTCTGTGTAACACTTGTAAAACACAGTACAAAAAAAACATTTATTGATTTCCTTAAGTGTTCTTACTTTTTTCTCATTAAATAGCTTCCTTTAATTTTTCCCTGCTTTAAGCTGTGACTGACTTCAAACAGACTTAATCAGTTTCAGATGTCCGCTTCAACTTTCTCAAAGGGAATTGCATTCTGTGATGTTTAATTTCCGCCTCAGATACTGCCAGGGTTAGACCACACTTCCACTTTAGTTCAGCTGAGGGTAATTCAATTAGATTCACAGTCAGCTAGTTTGATTTGACTGGCATTTAGAAAGAATCACCCAGATCCGTAATTATACTTAGGTCAACACAAGGTTACGAGCAGAAACACATCAGAAGGACATCATATATCATAACATGTGAGAACATTTTTGTGTACCGAGGGACATTTCTGCAACTAGTTCTGAGGGCAAACAATAACAATGCTATCAAAGAAAAAAAGACATCACTCAAGCCTTCTGTTTTTACCACATATTATGTAGCAGATGCAACATTTTTTTTTCTTTCTGTATTTGCAGAATGCAGTCAAAAACATCTGATGTAACTGAAACTTTTATGGACCTACCAGATGAAGATGTATGAACTGATTTTCTTTTTAGCCCTGATTAGTTAGCTAAATACTGCATTAATCCTTAATCTGTGTTTCATGTAGGGTTTGACCTCCAGTTTGGTTTTCTTATGGAGTGCTGGGCTAACATAATGGGCTGTTGGATCATAATTAGAGTGGAGTTTAGTGATTGATTGGGTAATTATGATAATGTACTGGGTTATATGGAAATRCAGCATAAAGTGTTTAGATGGGAGAAGATGAGAGAGCTGAACAAGAATATTGAATGTTTATCTACAGGAAAACAAGGAGTTATGTTGACATGTCTGTTTGTGCTCAAATAAAATGTGATCTTTTTGCGTTTTTGTATTTTTATTATCTGTATATTTAGAATGTGAGAATCTGAAAACACTTTGTAGTTTGAATTATTGTTTTTGTATTATTTAAAAAAACAGGCTGATCACATATAACACCACCACCACCGCCCACACACACAGAAAAAAAATATTTTTATTGCTTAACAAGTTACCTTCAAATTTTAAACCTGTTGAGAAAAACAATGTTGAGCAACAAATTCTGACTTTACTCCACAGGGTATTTTGGCTTGAATCTAGCTCAGCATTGATGTACTAACAGTGATGAACTGGCATCCGGACTATCCACACTTGCAACTGAACGGACCATGATTCATTGAGACGTCACTTTACTTCACTCTGAGGTCCAAATGATTCAGCAGCCTTATCCACATGGATGAAAAAAAAATTAATTGAATGTGTTGATTATGACAGTATGCACACCAAAAATTAGATATGTTTTAACAAACATATGTTTTAAACTATGTTTGTGTATGTGTGTGTGGCTGATCAGAGAACAACCGTTTTAACGATTTGTTCTGAACATTAAGGCTGCTGTTTTTAAATCAAAATTTAATTTACTTGCTTACTCTACCTTTTTTTTTTATCTCCTTAACACTGCTGTATGAAAGTTGAGAGCAGCCATGTCTAAAACTGTACTGCATGATATCCTCAGAAAACAAATGATCAAACATTACTGTGTGATGATGAAGGCCAGTTTGTGGGGATAGTGGTTTATTTATGACATCAGTGTAAAACAATAAGACCTATTTAGTTGTTTGTTTGTTTTTTACTTAAAGTGTTTTCTCAGATTTTTTTTTCATTCATAATGAAACAAAAAATGTTCTGTCTTAATTCAGGAAATTCATCATTGGCTACAGATACAAGCTAAAATAGTGACATTAAGCAGCATTCAGCAAAAAGTGATGCTCATTCATGACTGACATGTCATGACAACAGTATTAAAGAAGGAAACAAGATCTAACACAACCACTCATTTTCACACTATAATCATCTTGTGATTGCACGAAAACAAAGAACACCAAGTTTTACTTTAGAAGTGAACAATTAAATGTCTCAATTCACTGAGAAATTCATCAAACGTTTTGCCTGCAGTCACACTCTTGACATCAGTACTGTTGTGTTTAAAAATAATAATTTAAGTCACACTGGTTTGAAACAAATGTGTCATCACCACTGCAAACAAATCTGTCGAAGAGCTGCAGAAATGTTTTTATTTTTCGAGAAAATTCTTTAAGAAATTGGCTTTAACATTAATTTACAGTAATGTCAAAAATAACTAAATACATCTAATGAACATTGTGGGTACCACATAAAAATAAATTGCAGATGCATAACCATAAATATGTTTCTGTACATGTTTGTGTTACACACATGTTTAATGTTTCCTGTTTAGTTAATTTATGTTTATTCAAATGCATTTTACTGTAACTACATTTTACATATGTAAATTTTATCTTTTTGGAATTTAGAAGCCTTTAAATGATAACTTTTTTAATTGTTATGATGTATTAATAAAATAAAAAGTCTTTAAAATCTTTATTCTCTGATAAAGTGTAAGACATTCTGTAGTTTCTTTTTTTAATCCATG